TATATTTTTATTCATTGTTTCCTCAAACATTCTGAATTCCCCTCATACACAGATTGCGTATAATATTTATGTGTATGTGTGTTTATTTATAAGAAGCCTTGGTCTGGGTAGGCTAGAGAAACAAATCCATAGAAACTCATGTGTATAAGAGAGTGTTTTAAGAAAGCATCCCAATCCAGTCCAGTCCAAGCCCATATGTCTGCTATTAGCCCATATGTCCGATACCATTCTACAAAATCCTCTTCATACTCATGAAATACATGCCATGATGCTGAATGAAGGATGATCACAGGTTAGTGGGTAGAAAGTCTGTGGACCCAGTGGTGGTGTAAGCATCTCAGCACTGGCAGTGGTCTCTATGTAGCTTCTCCTGATCCAGAGGTCTGATTGCATCAGGGCAGGTCCATGTGGCTTCTCCATCTCCCAGGGCATAGAGCCGTGTGTCTTGTCAGTACAGCATCATCTCAGGGAGTGAACTGAGGGAGTTTCTTGTCAGCTAGGATGTCTCACAGGCACTGAGCAGAGGGAGAGTGTGTCTTCTGCCTCCAAGGAGGAAATCCCCCAGTTTTCCCAGAATGCTTAGGGGAAGGCCATGCCCACACAGAGGCCTGATTGGCTATAGCTTGACTGACAGCATAAACTCCACCCCTTCACTTTTAATCCTTTTAAATGCTAAATTGACACCAGATTATATAGCTACCAAAGCGGTGCAGTGGATTAGGCATTGGGGTGCTAATAAAGATGAAGCTGTTGGTCCCTGTCTAGAGACCTTACAGAGGGTCACTATGACTTGAATAGACTCGATGGGTTGGCATTAGGTTTTGCTGTTTTATATGGCATATACATAAACACAGGTATCTATTTCAAAATGTGTGCTGCTTTATTTTGTATGTTTTTGATGTGTACATAAGAGGAATCATACATAATCTTTTTTGACTTGCATTTTTCCTTCAGACATTTGTGGCACTTGCACTCTTGATTGTGTGTAGTTGTGATTTTTTTATTGTCGTTTGAGACTATGGCACATGAACATACACTGAAAATGGCTCATCGGTGCTCCTAGAGTAGGCACGTAATTGGATAATGGGCATTTCAGCTACTGGTGAGCAAACGTGCTCTGGTGTTGCTTGTAGATCTTCTAAGACCACATTCAAAAGAGTTTCTTGGAATCATTGGGCCCTGAGTGACGTACTTCTCTAATAAGCATAGTGTCTGTAGCAAATTGCATTCTCATGAGCAGGCTTAGAAAAGTCACCTTGGTTCTAAGTCATTGCTAGTGCTTGGCAATTCATGTGGTGTGCTCATTGGCAATCCAATAGGTGTATTTATAGCCCTTTTATTTCGGACGTGTTTTAAAGTTCCCTCTCTCCTTCCTAACA